GCCGGCTCGTGTGTGCTTGCTTGTCCCATTAAACATTTGAACCCTAATCTGCATCACTCCCCTTTTCCCCTCCACCTCGCCCGCTTCCACATCAAACGCAATGAGCGAGTGTATATTTTATGGAAAGTGCTTTGTGTACTTTGTAGTCCCACAGGCGTATAATAACCCCCCCCTTGTCGAAGACAAGAGGCGCCCGAGTGTCAGCCAGTGCTGAGATGGCGCTATTTTCCCACCGCACTGCGGTTGCTGCTAGCATCTATTATTTAAAAGTTTCCAGCCCTCCACACCTCTTCTCCAACTGCATTTAGTAGCCATGATCCTGATGGGGCTGCACAGGTTACAACAGTTTGCTGTGGCTCCCGGGGCAAGGCGGATCAATGCGCTAACAGGGTGAGTCAGGCAAAAAACGGCTCCCGTAATTGAACCGAGCGTGGACGACAACACCGCCTCGAGTTAAAAATAAAAGATATATAAAAACCAGGGGAGATGGCACGGTGTCCGTTTAAAGTAAAGTGCTGTTGTCGAAAAATGTGCAGCTTTAACTTGAATCTGGGTGGATGACAGCAGAAGTATATTTGTAGAAATGAGATGTCTAGTGCAGGCAGAGTGTGGTTGCGTTCGGTCATAACAATGTCTGACATTTTTTACTTCATGCTCTTCCAAGTCCTGATCTACTTCCAATATTGTTCTGTTCGTATCTAACCGAACACGTAGGCTTTGATTTCTTCTATTTCACATGACAAATCCACACTCCAAGTGGTTGCTAATAGTTCTTCTATCCTTACCCAGTCTTGAGGTTTTCAATGGCTTCCTCTACACCCTTCTGGTTGTTGCGAATCATATACTGGTGCATGTTGGGATAGTTGGAGCGGATGTTCTCCTCGGTGCTGCCGTTTGGCACCGTGCCGAAACGCAGCGGTGGGTACTGCTCTGTCGGCTGCTGAAACTGCACAAGAAGAAGAAGAGGAGGAGGTGGGCTGAGATTAAAGTGACAGGAGGAAGGACAGAAGTTAAAGAGCGGTAGCTGAAATGAGGGAGAGGAGCCGATCCGTGCTGCGGGATGAAGAGCTGCAGAGATTCAAAGACTTCACTTTCAAAGAAAAGCACCTGTGCTACACTTTTCTAAAGAGCTCAGACGCAGAGAGAGAGATAAAACAGATGAGGTTTTAAAGTGTCAAAGCAGCGGGACACAGTTTTGTGAGTTGTGGTGAAACTGCGCTGGAAAAATCAAAATAATAAAAAA